TCCAACTTCCCCAAGATCCCAATGTCTTTTCCCTCCTCTCTCAACTCCCTACCCCTGCTGGAAGCTCAGAATCCTCTGTCCTAAGAGGCCACACTGCACACCTCACTCCCCAGCCCCAAAGCTAGGGTTCCGTCCAACAGTGCAGGACAGGAAAGCAGACTCTGCCGCAGACCTTACCTCCGTGCAAGTTGGATCCACCAACCCCTGACCTTTCTGCTAGACAGAGTCAGCACACAGTCACACAGTAATGGAAGCCTTTTTTCCAAATACACCATGAAGCGGAATTCCCAGATATAAAGGCAATCAATGCTCTCCCCAACCCCACCCCAACCTGCCCCCCAATTCCTGCTGCAACCCTTGGAAGTGGGAAGCCAGTAGTAAACTGCTTATGTAGACAGTTTGGAAGAAAGGATCCTCTGAATGGCCGTGGTCTCCCCTGCCTGTCTCCTTTTATTCTTCCCTCCCTCCCTCCTCAGGGTGCCTGGCATGGGCACAAGGAAGGAGCCAGGCAGGATCACTGACCCAATGTTGAACCCTCTACTGGCACCAGGAGGGCCTCCACCCATGAACTTGGAGGCAGTGCAGGTTTCATTGAACAGGATGTCTGGGGAGCAGGGAGAGCATAAATTGTCCAGAACGTTGTTTGGATGTCCCACGTAGGGCAGCCTATGGGAGGTGGACTTTCCTAGACTCATGCCCACCTGTTCCCAAGTCCAGAAAGTTGGCAGTAGCCCTCCCTGCCCTCCATGCTTGACCAAGCAGGGAGGTCATCCCTGTGGCCACACCCTCCTCCAGGCCCATGGTGCTGCCAAAGACAGCTATACCCTGGCACCAGGCCCACACCAGCCATACTAGCCCCAGGAGCTGGTGTCTATGATGTACTATAGGCCATTTAGAGCCAGCCCCCTGGATGTGGGCCCTCCATTGCCCTCTCTCAATGCCTGGGTCCTCCTCAGCATAGGGAGATTACAGGGAATTTCCTTTTCTTTTACAGAGGCTCTTTGTAATTTCTGAAATGTTCTTTCATAGGCACATATACTTTTTATAATCAAACCCAATAACTCGATGTGGAAAAGACAGTATCTGAGGTGCCAGCCTCTACCTTCTCCACGGTGCCCCTGCCTCCCTCCCACCAGCCCAGTCTTCCTCATAGCCACAAGCCTCCTCTGACCGCACTGCAGCTATCCTTGGAATTCCCTTGTGCTGTCTGGCCTCTGTGGCTCATGCTTCAGCCTCTTTTGGCAGGAGAACAGCAGCATTCTTCCCATGTCTTCAGAGCTGGGGAATCTTGCCCTGGGTGCCTCTGCAAGCTGATCTTGAGGGGCCCTTGTCCCCCACACTCTCAGCTGCTGCCTTTCCTCCAAGAAGCCAGAGAGCTCAGCCACCCAGCAAGGATGTTCCGCTGCTGATTTCCAGTATCCAGCTCAGGGTCAAGCCAGCTGCAACCTCGAAAGGTCCCCGATGGCCCAGATCCTTCCTAGTGACCGGCACCGACAACGGAGGGGACAGAGAACAAAGGGCAGAGAAGGGCTATGTTCTACCACTTGCAAGCTGGACTGAGTCTGACCTCTGTCTCTAACTCCATGTAGGACCTGAGGTGGGTCCTCGCTTTGAGCCTCAGTTTCCCATTTGTAAAGTGAGAATGATATCTGTCGCACATACGCCGATTAGCTGATTGACAGAGAAGGGCATTGTCCACTGCCTGGTGCCTCGGACTATGAGGAGACACTGGGTCCTGTTTTTATATAGCCTAAATCCCTGGACATGCTTAAGAAGTGACTTATTCTGGTCCCTTTACTCCCACCCCAGCACGGACCCCTAGCACCCACACCTTAGAAGTGGCCCTGGGCATTCCTGGCCAGTCACACATCCAGCACCAGTCAGCTCAAGACCGAGGGGCGGCCAGTGCTGGGATGGTTCTGGAAGCCATCCATGGCAGGCAGCACACAGCAGGTTGCTCTGGTTCCCGCTAAAAAGAAACAAAACCTGCACCCCTCTCATGCCTTGACTGCGGTAATTTCTTCGGGGTAGATCCCCAGAAGGTTCCAGGCTACAGGGTGGATGAGGACTTTCTACCCACCTCTGTCTGACAGGCCTGGCTCCCCAGCCTGGGATTAGCCAAGGTTGGGGGTGCCTTGGTCACAAGTGGCTGCTGGGGCTGCCAAACCTGGCCCAAGGGCTGGCTACGGTGGCTGGTCCTTCTCAAGGTCACTTCAGGACAACCTGCTCACCAGAGACCAGGGCTGCAGAGAAGGAAAGGGCTCTTCAGGAGAGGACATTCCCACCCCCCACAGGCCATTTGGGAATCCCACCTGGAAGTCAGCCATGCAGGGCTAGCAGAACAGCCCAGACCTGTATTCAGACCTGAGGTGATCTCCTGGCTCTCTCACTGTGACTTGGGGCAGGTCTCCTCACTGAACCGTCAATTTCCTCACCAGCAAAACAGGATCCCACCATCTCTCACCCCATCTCAAAGATTTGAGGAGAGGTTCTCCGTTTAAAAAAATCTGCAGGGGTTGGCACCTGGGTGGCTCAGTGGATTGTCTGACCGGTTTCGACTCAGGTCGTGATCTCACGGTTCGTGGGTTCTAGCCCCACACCTGCATCAGGGACTTAGGATTCTCTCTCTCTCAAAATAAATAATAAAATAAAACTTAAAAATTTTTATTACAGAATTTTCAGGCTTACACAGATTTAGAGAATTGAATCAATCCCCATGTACCCATCACCCAGCTTCAACTATTAGCAACTCATGGTTAACCCATGACTATACTCACACCCTCTCCCCTAACCTTGGAGTTATTTTAAAAACAAAGCTAAGACATCATTTTACCTGTAAATACTTCAGAACGACTCTCTCAAAGATGACGACTTAAACGCACACACATACACACGCACACGCACACACAATACGGTTATCACCCCTCGAAAAGTTAACCATAATTCCCTAATATCATCAAACATCTCACCGGAGCTCAAATTTCCCCCAATTGCTCATAAATGTTTTTACAGTTAGCTAGTTTGGATTTGAATCAAATAAGGTCAGCACATAACATCTAGTTGACATATGTCTACATTTCTTGAGAGCTAGAGATTCCCCATCTTTTCTTGTAATTTTGCTATTGTGGAAGAAACCGGGTTGTCTATTCTGTAGTTTCCTAGTCTTGATTTGGGTATTTGTATCCCCATGTGTAATTTCACATGTCCCTCTGTCCTCCATATTTCTGATAAATTAGTAGCTGGATCCAAAGGATAAGACTGCGGTTTTTTGTTTTTTTGTTTTTTTTTTTTTAATTTTTGTTAACGTTTATTTATTTTTGAGACAGAGAGAGACAGAGCGTGAACAGGGGAGGGGCAGAGAGAGAGGGAGACACAGAATCTGAAACAGGCTCCAGGCTCTGAGCTGTCAGCACAGAGCCCAACGCGGGGTTCGAACTCACGGGACCACAAGATCATGACCTAAGCCGAAGTCGGATGCTTAACCGGCTGAGCCACCCAGGCGCCCCGAGACTGCGGTTTTATTTTTTGGCAAAAATAATGTCTAGTCGGAGTTCATGTGTCTGAAAAGAGGGTCTCTTTGTGGTTTAAAAATCAAGTGGCAGATTCGGGTGTTGCCAGTTTGACAGAGTTCTAAATCTTTCCTGTCACATAAGAGCTAAGACTATAAAATTCCCTCTTAGACAAAACTCTTTAGACAAAAACAGACCAGCATGGGCAGTGGGGAGAGGCCAGACCCTGCAGGATCCATCTGGACTTGTATTTTGGAAAGATCACTCTGGATGTTGGAGGATGGGTTGGAAGGGGAAGCCAGACTCAGAGGGCTGAGTGTTGTAGTGTACCCATTATATGACTTTCTGGAAGGAACAGAACTGTAAGGACAGAGAGCAGGAGAGAGAGGGGTTGACCATGGGGGGCATGGGGACTTGGGAGAGATGATGGGCCATGTGTCCAAGTAGGGGTTGTAGACTCATTAACTGTCAGGACTCATCCCAGCAGTGGGCCCAGGACTTGCAGAGGATACAGGCTATGAGAGTCCACTCCAGCTCCCAGGCCTGTTTGAGTTACCCCCACAGCTTTAGGTCCTGTCAGGAGATCTCACCTGGATGACATTCCCTTATATATTCATTTATTAAACAAGAAGTTACTAGGCACCCACTATGGACCAGGCTCCATGCTGGACACTGGAGATCGTCAGATGACCAAGACCACCCTGCCCTCAAGAAACATCCAGGCTGGGGGTGCCCGGGTGGCTCAGTCAGTTGAGCATCGGACTTCAGCTCAGGTCATAGTCTTGCAGTTCATGAGTTCAAGCCCCACATGGAGCCCTCTTCGGATCCTCGGTCCCCCTCTCTCTCCCTCTCTGCAAGGAAGAGAGAGAGAGAGGAAGAAAGAAAGAAAGAAAGAAAGAAAGAAAGAAAGAAAGAAAGAAGAAAGAAAGAAAGAAAGAAAGAAAGAAAGAAAGAAAGAAAGAAAGGAAAGAAAAGAAACATCCAGGCTGGAGGGTACCTGGCCTGGATCCATCGGACACATTTGCCAAGGCTGGTGCCCTCTTCTCCCACTCCCCTCTCTACTCCAGCTAGCCAGGTCTTACCAGACAGAACTCATAGATGTATCAAAAAATAATCTTTATTGTCACTAGTATAAAACATAGCAGATCAACTGGCCTCTCAGTCTGTACAAAGTGTGGGGCATAAGACCACCTGGGCTACCCCATTTCTCCCAAAATGCCCTGCCCAGGGCAGTGCCCAGGAGTTCCGTGAAGGGGAGGGCCACCCCAAGTGCCTTCTCTTGAGGAGACAGGTTGGGGGTGGAGTGGGTGAGGAGCACTTTCTGCCTGAGGGAGGCAGAGGGGCCGAGGAGAAGACCCTCTGGAGTAGGGGAGCCCTCCAATTGTTCATGAGCCTGTCCCCACCTTCTGCCCCCTCCAAGTCCACCCTGTGAGCATCGGGGGCAGTGGCCAGCCTGGAACAGGCTGAGACCCATGCCTGCTTCTGTGGCCGTCAGAGGGCCACGCGGGTACAGCAGTGGCGCAGCAAGCATGGCAGGATGCCACGGTTCAGCTGGTGGAACTGCACAAGCTGCAGCAGGTCCGTGAAGCGAGTCTGGCCGTCATCCATGCTGAAGTAGAGGCGGCCCTCCTCCTCGCTCTGGGGGGACGGCCACAGGGGGCGGGGTGGAAGGTCAGGGAGGGACTCGAGGGGATCCCTCCTGGTCAGGGCCGAGGTCCCCAGTGCTTGTGCAGGGGCAAAGGAGAGAGCGGGAGGCCCCAGATACACCGCGGGCCGGGGAGCTTCTCGAGGGGGCCTGGTGGGGAGACAGGGATTACTCACCGGGAGGATGAGATAATGTTTGACCTTCTGCAGGTGGCACAGAGAGAGGACAAAGCCTTGTGGGTTCCGTTGACTCTCTCGAACAAGGAACAGGCTGCCAGGAGACAGGGCAACATTACCCGAGGACACACAGCTGCCGCCTGGACACGGGGCCTCTCCTGTCCCTGGGTCTGTTGGCCTGCTCAGCCCTGCCCCTTACCCGTCCACCAGGCCCTGCTGCCCGATGAGCCGCTGGCTCTCCTCTCGGGAGATGCGTCCATGGAACCAGGGTTGGGTGCGGTGGATGGCTGGAGTTGGGGGAGGCAGATGGGCCGTCACTCTGGGGAGGAGGTCCCCACACTAACCTCCCCCACCGGGAATGCTCAGAGAAGCCACGGCAGCCCCCACCCCTGGGGATGCCGGGTGCTCACCCACCTGCACTGAGGCTCGTGCCTGAGCCTGGGGTGGGCAGGCTGAGACGATGGTTCTTCTGCAGAGCAGTGGGGGACACAGGGGATCAGGGCGTGACTGAGGTATCACCCGGCACCTCGAGAACATAGAGACCCTTTCCGCACCTGGCGGCCCGCCTTACCCCACTCTTCGTCCCACACCATGGAAACCCACGTGGAGAGAAGGTGCCCAGTATAAACATGCAAATGGGTACAGGCCCCTCACCCTCCAGGCCTGGGCCTCCTCCAGGGCTGCACTCAGAGCTTCCCGGGGGTTCTCGATGACACGCCCAGCATGGCCAGAGAAGTCCATGGCCACCAGGGTGTTATCAGAGACGCTCCTCTGTAGATGGGATAGGATGGAGAGGGGTCAGACGGGGTCAGGGCACCCACCCCCAGCCAACCCCCCCGTGTACACTCACCAAAGGTGGGGAACCCACACAGGACGGACGCAGGTGGCGAGACTGTGCCTGCTGATAATTCTTATACAGCTGCACCCCATACTGCGGGTTGGAGAGAGAAAGAGAACCTGAGGTCAAGCAGGTGCTGGCAGCTGGGCTGTGAAACCCACACACACCAGAACTCTCCAAGGGCAAGACTGCATCTCTGCCCTGGATAAGGAAGCTTTCTGAAGCCGGAGTGAGGACTCCAGCCTTGGGCCCAACATACTAACAGAGCAAGGCTATGATGCCCCCTCATTCCTGGGGGCAGAGTTATAATTCCTCACTCATGCCCCCATGCCACTCCCAGGGTCTCACCTTGAAGAGGCGGAAAGCTGCTAACCAGCAGGTGCGACTCTGCTCATCCTCGCTGCAGAAGACCCGAAGCCCCTTGTGGCCATTTCGAAGCTTATTTGGCTGTAGAGAGAGGAAACCAGCTGGTCCCATATCTGCCATTAGGGCCAGATATCTGTCTCCGTAGGGCAGGACACAGGGCAGAGGGCAGGGGGAGGAGTCTGGGTGTCCCAGATGGGAGCTCAAAAGCCCTAGGTAAGATCCCAGGGCCTGAGCAGCTCCCGTTGCCTCCCAGGCCAGGCCAGGCCAGGGTCTTTACCTTGATACAGAAGCCGAAGTCCGTGGGCATCCCATAGAGCTTGCGGCCCTGGGTCACCACGTACACGTTGGACTCGTTCACATCTGCTACATACTGCAGGTGCCTTGGATCCTGTGCAGCACGGGTAGACAGGACTTGTAACAGGCAGACCCTGTCCCCCTATTATTGTCCCGGTAAGCCAGCTGGGGAGATGTCAGGACCAGAGAGGAGCAGAGAAGTGCCTCAGGTCACACAGCAAACAGAAGCAGAGCCAGGGCTCGAACTCAGTTTCACCTGCCTTTCCCACCACTACTTCCTGGGGTAGGTACGCTAGGAGGGAAAGAGGAGCAGCTGAGGGTCTCAGGGTCCAGGGGAAGAAAGGTCCAGGAGTTCCAACAGGGAAGGGACAACTCCTAGAAGGACCAGGAATGGGATACCCTAGGGGCTGGGGCTGTCAACCTTCAAGACCTCACCTTGGAGGTGCCCTTGGTGGAGTAATAGAGGCCAGACCGGCGCAGGAAGCAGAAGAAGCGTTTCCAAAGCTTCCGTCCTGACCCTCGAAGCTGCAGGAAGCCCTGGATCTCTGGGAAGCTGCCTGCATTCAGGAAGTTCTGAGGCCAGAAGAGAGCAGGAAGAGCGTGAGACGCCAAGAGGGAGACAGGGAGATACACACACACATACACAAAGGCCTTCGTAGGAGAAGGTGCTCCACATGGATTTACCGTCCCATTTACCAGATGCAGAAACCTGACGCTCAGCCAGGAAAAGTAACTTGTCCGGTTGTTTAGGACCGTGCTAAGCCCTCCACCACACACAGGGGAGGCACAATGCTTAAGGGTCAAAAAGCGACAGGAATCATGACTGGAAATATCCCTTTACCTGGATGAGGTCTTCATGGGATATGCCTGTGTGTGCATCCAGACAGCTGGAGACCATCTTTTCCGGGAACAGGGAGTGCTGGGGGGAAACGAGAAAGGAGCCAGGGATTGAGGGCCCAGGTTGGGGATCAGGGTATCCCAGTGCCCAGACCCCCTGCACCCACACTCACTGGGGAGCTCTTGAACAGTTCATACTTGGCGAAGTTCTTCCGGAAGACAAAGCGGCTGTCTCCACCAATGGGCCAGGCAGCCTGCACTTCCACCACTGACTCGTGGTCCTCCAAGCCCCGCTCTGGCGTCAAGGGCAAAAAGCAGGGCTCAGCGGAGACCTGCCAGGCCTCCCAGATGAGCCACCTGCCCAGCCCAACGTGTGAAGCATTTGCCTCCCTACCCAGGCAGCCCCCTCCACCCCAACTCACCCAGCGCCAGATGGGGGTGGCACTCCACCAGCCCCCAGTTTTCATCGCTCAGGGCGTGAGCCCGCTGCACCAGCATTTCACACACGTAGCGAGCCGTGGCACCTGCCGCCACCTCCACAGACCGGCAAGCCCCATCTTCACTGTACACCTTTACTACCTGTGCCCCGGGAATTGCAGATGACTTGAGGAAGGGCAAAGGGTGGTTATTTCCCTTCTGCTGCTGCTACACCTGCAGGGATTCCTGATCAAATCCCCCAGCCTCCACGGAAGTGGCACCATATCCACCCTCATATCCACAGCATCCCCATATCCCTGCCTTCTCTCTCCCAAGACAACTCACATGGGGGCGGCTGGCATCTCGAGGGAGCAGCCCCCTTGCACTGGAGGGCCCCCCAAGAATGGGGGTCTGTGAAGGAGGACTGCAGAGCTCAGGGAAGGGGTTGGGGATGGAGGGTAGAGAGCTTGTCCGCAGCTCCTCCTCTCGAAGAAGATTCCTGTGGCCCAAGGTAAGGGGCAGAGAAGAGTTGACTGCAAGCTTCTGTCTCACCCCGGCGCTGACCGCCTCCCACCACCAGCCCCTCCTCAGCTCCATCACTCCATCGTACCTGCTGGTTGGAATGGGCAGAGGCTGGGACCTCTTCACCTCCCCAGGCAGAGGGGCATCGGGAGGCGGGGGAGTCCCAGGAGGGGTCCCAGGGGTCAGGTACAGATCTTCTGGGGAGCTGCTGAGATGAGGTGGAGACAGACCCAGCTCCATAACATCTGAGGGAGAAGAGGGGGCTGGAAGTGGCTGATCTTGACCCCTTGTCCTGGGAAGAGGGGCCAAGAGGACCCAGACCTCCTGACTTCACACAGCTGCCAAGGGGCCCCTCAGAGTTTGCCCAGCACCTCATTGCTCTCCCTCTAACTGGAGTTTCTCTGGAGCCTCTGGGGAAGGGTAGAGTGAGTCCATTTACAAAAAGGGACTTCAGGTCCCTGAGAAGGAAGCATTCTTGCCCCCATCGCAGGTGAGTCAGGGAGTAAAACCTGGTGTTTGGACTCCAAGTCCAGTGCTCTTCTTTTAGCCCCAGGTTGCCCAGGGGAAGAGCTAAGAGGGTCCCACTCCGCCACCATGGGGCAACAGACTCCATAACCCACAGACCGTTCGAGGCTCAGACTTTCAGTCTCTGAGCATGCTCTGAGCACAGGGCACTCAGCTCCTCCGGGCTCTGCCCCAGGTTTTTCCAGTGCTTTGTTGCCAGACCTGGTTGCCAGAGCCTGTTGTGGCAACGCCTGCCCAAGTGCTGAGTGATGCACAGAAGGGGAGAAGGAGGTGGGCCAGGATAGGAACCAGGAGGGCAGGAGGCAGGCTCAGCTGCAGTGGGAAGGACAGGACTAACCTGGGGGCCCTGGCCCCAGCAGCCCCCAAACCTTGTGTGCCCTCCCCAGATTCTTCCTCCCGCCCAACTTTCTTGAAGCCCCAATGCCAGAGCTCCCTCCTCTGAGCAGCCTTCCTGGATTTTCCACCTTCAGACTGAAGGTCTCCCTCTCTGCACTGTGCTGGGGACTCTGTGCCAATTACGTGCACCTGTCTTACCCACCCACTGGTCTGAAGACGCCTGGCACGGCTAGGCAAGGCCAGGGTCTTACCCATGTCTTATCACCCACAGGTGCTGCACAGGTACCTGAGACAAGTAAGGACAGGAGAGCTGGGGCAAAAATGCCCACCGGGGGCAGAGGCAGCACGGGCTCCTCCTCCACAGGAAGAAAGACCCCTTTGGCTGGGTGAGAACCTGGGAGCACCTGAGATCTAGGCCAGCGCTGTTAGGCTGCTGGGGGCACCTGGCATTGACCCTCCAGGATGGGGTAGGTCCCGGACTCTTAAGTGAGGGGATCTGGGGGACAGGTGAGTCAGGGTGGGGCGGGACAGCACTGCCTGGGGCTCTCTATTCAACCTTGACTCATCTGCACAACTTCCTGGCTTAGGAGAAACACAAACAACCCTGCCTCTGCCCACCTCCCTCCACTCCCGCCCCCAACCTACTAGCCTAGGAGGAATGGGGGAGGCACAGGGCAGGGACAGGATGGGGAAGAAAGAAGCTGCCTGGCCTGCAGCTCCTCTGACATCATTTTCTCCTCCCCACCCTTGGCCCACCTCCAGTCCAGGTGGGACTGAAGTCAGCCCCCAATCTGGTAGCCACCACCCAGCCCAGGAGCCCCCTCCCCCAAGGAGAGAAAAAAGGCCCGGCCTGGATTTCAAAGGCCCATCTGGAGTGGAGCTGACCTCCACTGATGCCCTCACTCACCACAAAGAAGAAACCACGAAGTGCTCTCTATCCTGGCTGGGGCCTACCAGGCTTTCATTCTGATGCTGCTGCCCACCCCTGGAACCCAGGACTCAGTGGCTCAGAGGACTCCTCTACATCAACCCTGGGGGATGAGGGTCCTCCTGACACACTCTTCAGGGTGTCCTGGCTGGAAGGGTACTACAGGAGCAGAAGTAGAAAGTCAAGACACCCAAGAGGACAGACACAGACAGGCAGAAAAAGGAAGGCTGGAGGGAGAGACAGGGAGGGGGCTCAGGGTCCTGCAGGGAAGGTTAAAACACACCCACCAGTGAACATCAACAGACACCAGAACATCAACAACAAAACGCAGTGTCCCCACTCCCATCCCGTTTATCCTCTGGCAACCAGCCCTGGTGACTTCACTCCAGGGAGAGGGAGACTGGGGGAGGGGGGTGTGCAGGGAAGCCAGACAGGATATCAGAGACCAAAACTGGGGTCCTCCTCCACCCCTGGGAAGAGGAATCAGGGCAGTGTTTGGACCGGGAAAGGGGAGAAGATCTAAATCAGAATCAGATTAGATAGAGTCTGGCCTCAGAGGGCTGGAGGGCCGACTGAAGACTTGGGTTTGGCCTTTCCATCCTTCACCCTGCCATTCAGACCCTTCTAAGACAAGAGAAGAGTGGGGCAGTTAGGACCAAATAGATGAAACTGGGAGAAGAATGGGGGTCCTAGCTGTGGGGCCCTGGCAGGCCCCCTCCCAAGAAACCTGAACTCTCAAACTGGGGCCCTCAGAAAGCTTCTGTTGAAGAAACAGACCCCCATAATCTAGCAGTCCCCGAAACACAGCAACTCCACGCCGAAGCTTCCCCTATGGCCTCTCCTGCCCCGCGGCTCCGGCCCCACCCTCCTTCCCGCCTTCCCAGCCTCCTGCCTCCTTGTTTACTTCCTGAATCTCGCCCCACCTGGCTGGCCCCAAGGGCGGGTGGCAGGGCAAGAAAACAAGGCCACCTCCGCTGCTAACCAGGGGAGGGGGAGGGGCCGGCAGGGCCGAGGCCTGGGCTGGGGACCAGCAGGTGGCGGGAAGGCCCCCGTCTGGCCCAGCACTCCCCTCCCCGCCCCCATCGGGATTTATTGTAAGGGAAGGAAGGCTCAACCTTCGGGGGAGTTCTGGGGGTACAGGGCCCAGGTGAGGAGGCGGGAAACCCCTAGGTGACCCAGAGTTGGGGGGAGGGTCCAGGACCCTGAGGCCCCGCCCACTCCCTCACTCGAAAAAACATGACCAATGCGAAAAGGGAGGGTAAGCTCTCTTAAAGTTTAATTTGGGAAGAATGCTGGAGTGTCTGTGGAGTTAATCATTACACGCTGCTTGCCTTCGTGGAGGGCTCCCCCAGCAGGATCAGGGGGACAAGGGAGACCAGAGTCCAGGGCAGGCCGACCAAGAGGGGCGGTGGAGTTGGGAGACTTTCCAACGCAAACAGGTGCATTCTCCATCCCCGTAGTGCCAGGGAGACCCAGATTCTGTCTTTGTGCAAACACTACCCCCCCCAAACATGTACACACACTTTCCCTTGGCCCCACTGCACTGCTGACCCCCGGCACCAGCCCCCCAGCCTTCGAGCCTTCCTTCTGAAGCCGGGAAAGACCCTCAGGCCTGCCCCGCCCCCACCTTCCCTTCCGAGGGTAGGACCCTGTGTTCTGAGCAGGCAAACAATAGGAGAAGGAGTTCTAGCAACTTCAGGGAACCCTCTCCTCTACTGCCCTCCAAATTGAAGGGTACCCCTTCCCCAGGGGAGACGTCAATCTTTAGTAGAGCCTTGGGGAAACCTCAAACGGGTAACCTCAGGCTGAGCAAGGAATGATCCGAGGCAGCTCTCGGTATTCGGCCCCCCTCCCAGCCCTCTTTCTGGGGAGGTGGGGAGGGGCTTCAGCGGGAAAGCAGCGTCTCTGGAAGGAGAGGATCAGAGATCTTCCTTTCTCAACCCCATCAGCAGCTTTGTCCGGGGGCCAGAGGGAGGCGGGGTACAGGGAGGGAAATAAGGAATAAGGAAGACAGGAAATGAGAATAGGGAAAGACTGAGAGCAGATGGTGAGGAAGGGGCGGGATATGGGAGACTGGAGAAAAAAGAGAAAGTGAGGCCGCCAGAGTAACGCAGAAGGAGGCTGGATCTTTCCAAATTGGCCCCAGACCTGCTGCTCCTCCCCACCCTCACGATGAAGGGCCCGTTTTGGTCCTTACCTGCACCCTGGCGTTGGAACACTTGGCTGGGGCCACCGGTTTAGGGAGAGAGACGCCTGGCCCTTAACTACCTGTCCCCCTCCTGCCCCCGCCCTTGGCCTGACATCACTGAAGGGGAGAGGGAAGGGGGGAGCCAGGCGGCTGTCCGTCCGCCCATCAGGGCAGCCTGCCAGCTCCTGGCCCTGAGACCCGCACAGCCTGGGGCCCTGGTGGGGCTGGGGGTGGGAGCAGATTATCGTCTGGGACCCATCCTGGCAACCTTACCTAGAGAAGCCCCAGCAGGAGTAGCAGGACACGGGGTCCGAAGTCCGGTTCTGTCTAGGGACCCCAGATACCTGGACTTGATTTCAAATCCACTCCCTCTTCCCTACAGGTGGTAGGAGGGCGTCCTGACTTTGGAGGTAGAAGTGAGGGTTGGGGGAGGGACAGCCCTATGTGTCCAGGCTTCTGGACGAAGGAAACTAAAATTATCTTGGGCAGGTGGGGGCGGGGCCGGGGGGGGGGTGGGAAGCATGGGAGGAGGAACCACAGGAGGAGGGGCGGGGACTCTGACACTCTACTCTGGCTGGGATTGTTTTTGCCCTTCTTAGCCAGCCAGCAGGTGCCAGGGGAGAGGCGGGGAAGACAGTCGAACTGAACAGCCTCCAGAGTGAAGATCTGGAGTCCTCGTGACCTGGGAGGGAGGGGCTGGGGGCTGGAAGGTAAGGGGAAAGACCCGCGCACCCTTCCCCAGGCTCCTCACCAAATCGGGTCTGCTCATTGGCCAAGCTAGGGGGCCTGTCTGCGGCTCTGAGTCCCACTTGATGTGGCAAAGAGCACTCAGCGAAAGAGGGAAGCCAGCCAGAGGGGTGTCCAGCAATAAGGCCTGCCCCTTGACCTCCAGCCACAGTCTGGCCACCCAGCCTGCATCCTGGCCCTCAGAGGCACCCAGAGTATGTTCTCCCTTCTTTGCAAAGTCCAGGGTCTCAGCTTCTTCTGAAATTGAAAGAGTTAGGCAGGGTCTCATGGTGAGAGGAGTGATCTGGGGGAAGCTCTGGCCAGGTGCCAGGGGACACGCCCTCCTCCCCCCCCCCCCCCCCCCCCCCCCCCCCTTTTGAGCCATCACTTTAGCTCACTCTTTCAGCATTAGGCACACACAGGGGTCAGGGAGAAGGCCTGGATCAAAGGCAGTGGTCACCTCCCAACCAGGAGTTGGTGACAGTTGGGTAAACAAACAGTCCATAGAGTGATAAGAGGTCTGCCCTGGGGGACCATCAA